AATTAATTTATTAATGTAAATGGAAATTATAATTTTTAATTTTTCCTATCATTATACATTGATTTTATAATATACAGATAAGCCATACGGCTGTTTATTTAGAAACAAGAATAATAGTAAAGCAAAAATCCGATAGATTACATAGCGGTATTTATAATCGAAAAAATAATATTATTCACAACGGCCAATTGTTTTTGTTTTTTTTAAAAAATTAGATTATTATAAAACCGGTTTCGGATAGGCTTTTTCGTTTGACGAAATGAAATAATAAATAATGTTATTTAATCACCTATTACAATAATAATCATTACGTTATTACTATGAAATATATTAAAACAAATCATATATATTATATAATACGTCTATTTTTATTTCAGCCAAATTTCTTAGTACTTAATTTTGTTTTATCGTAAATATTCTGGCATTTTTCCGGCATCCGTCGAACATCGAGATCGAAGATGAATGATAAAAATCATAAGGTAAGAAAAAGAATATACGCGTATTAACTGTAAAAACACTTATCTTATTTTAACTTTTTAAAGAATTTAATATTAAAGCTTAAGTTACTATACACTACATCAACAAAGTCAATAATTTACTTGTTTAAAACTTAACAACTTAAACGGATTGCAAACTAGGCGATTCGAATGAAAAATGAAAAATAAATTCCAACGCAAACGCGAAGTATTGTACATGTGGTCATGTAACGATGTACAATAACAACTAGACCAGAAGTTTCATAACCTATCAATGTTTTATGAGAGAAGTCCCCCGAGTTAGTATTTAGTAGTTACTAATCACGACGATTCGTAATTATAGAGCTCTTTATATTATATGCTACCTGGGCTTATCCGTGTCTGAAAACTACTCTAAATTAAACACTCATATAAAGATTTAGATACGTTTATTCTCTCTTTTTTCTTAACGATCGCCTCTGACATTGTAGTTTATATTATGCAATTTAAAAATCAGATAATTTTTATTTTACATAGGTAATATTGTTTTTATTTTGTTTCCCTTGTAGATATTAATACATAAAATCAATTTAATCCGTTATCGCTCCCAATATTAAAAATGACCAAGCGTATTACATACTATTTTTTTTGAAAAAGATCAAAATATAGAAAAAAAAAGAAAATTAACTATTGAAAATCGTATACCGTGTACAAGTACCGATTCTTCATCTAGTACACTTGATACGACAGAAAATGAATCTTAGATAAATACAGAGTGGTATAAAGGGTCGAAACTAGATGTTATTTGGTTATTGCAAACATTTTCTATGCTCAAAAAAATTAAATTGGGGAAGCGATCAGGATTAAAATGCATGGTTTGCTTTGAGCAAATTTCAGAAGCTATAGAGTTTTCTTGTAATGGGCATGTCCCAATAGCTGATGGTATAAGATGTGATGGTAAAAGAGAATTGATGAAGGTTGTTGACCTTTGCATAGTGAGGCTCATAATGTCGCTCGTAAAGCTGACGAGACTCAGCGTTTATGGCTAACACAGGCTGATAAACATCCATAGGTGAAAATTATTAAAAAGCATGAGTCGGAAATTATTAAAAATTTAATTGAATTAGTTGTTGATGTCCATAATGATAGCAAAGTATTGACATTATCTACTAATTCTTAGCCATCTAGATCACTTTCGAAAATGTATGCTAATGCTCAAATTGCTAGTTATGGATAACATGGTTTGGATTCTAAATTTGCTTGTGTTAAAAAATCCTCTTCTGCAGTTCACTACAAAAATACTGTTATATATCGTGAAATGTTAGATACGGTTGCTGAAATTACCATGGAGTCAGTTACAAACGAATTGAAAATTGCAGAATGTTTTACATTACAAGTTGATAGTTCTGTTGATAAATACTCGATTGATAATAAGTTCATAACAGCCTGTTACCTTGATAAAAATAAAGCTATGAAAAATATATTTCTCGGAGAAAGCCATTCTTCTAAGCGTGGAGCAGAAGGCTTACTTGATTCGGTTATAACCATTTTAAAAAACCTTAATTTAGAACACATTGCTACACAAAACATGACTGGATTAACTACCGATGGTAAGAGTGCCAACACTGGTAAGAAAAGTGGTCTCTGGGTCAGACTTCAAAAACATTTAAAAAAAGAGATACATTGTATTTGGTGCGTAGCATAAAGGTCTGATTTAGCGTTTGGAGATTTAAAAGCATCAATAGTGGAAGTGAAAAACTGGAAATCAAATGTGAAAGCTGTGGCTACATTTTATAGAAGCTCAGCAATACGAACAGAAGAGCTTCAATTAATTTCTAAACAGTCAAAAAACAAGTATTATCGATTTCCAGAACATTTTGAAGTACGATTCGTTCAACATCTTATAAAATTAAGTGAATCAGTATGGAATAATTTAAAATCAATAAGAACACATTGGAGTTCAATAATCACTAACACGAATGCAAATAAAACTGAAAAATCTGTAGCTAAAGGGTTTTTAAATCTATGGAAAGAAGGCGGAGACCAAGAGTATTATACTGCATTAATGATGGATATACTTTACCAGTTTGAAAAATTACAAAAAGAAGGCCAAAAATTGATGACCACTTTATGTGACATAGAAACTACGAAAACGGCAGTACTTGCATCGTTGGATATAATTAAAACTAATTGTTTTCCTAGTGGAAAAGAAGAAGGTTTAAAAAACTTGCAGTGTGATGTAGAATTAGAATATGAGGATGAAAATGACAATAATATAAGAACACGAATGATTAGAAATTCTTATGTTTCGCCAAACGTTGTGTTTTAAGTGTTAAAAATTAAATTATCCTAAGTTCCATAGAATTTCTGCAATAGCGACTTGATTGTGAACAAAAAAGTATAATCAGTCGAATCAAATTATTCTTAAATGCACAGAATGGAACAGAAGTGATTGCTTCTGTAAGATGTGATGTTGAAGGACTATTTAACAAAACTAACCTGGGTCAGTTCAGCGATGAAGTCATTGGGCTATATGCTACAGATAATCTTCCAGCACCACGCAGTATAACAGATTTTACTGGAAAATTTTATTATTATTTAAAAATAAGTACACCAAATACTTGTTTTCCAAACTCGTGCAGACATATATATCCCTTACTCCTCACAGATATGGGCCAGAACGCGCTGTATCTTGTACCATTTTAAAATCAAACAAGCAGTCTAATTATTTCAGAGAAGCAATTAATAGCCGTCTTTACATTGCTTTAAATAGCGGTGGTACAGCTAACTTTGATCCTAGACCATCAGTAGCTAGATTCTTACAGAAAAAAGAACGTAGATTTAAAATACCGGATGAAGAAGCCTACAAAGACCATTTCTTTATAAAGAAGTTCTTTGAAGAAGTGTGAAAAATAATTAATTTTAAAATATTGACAAATTGTATTCTTTTTTTTTTTTTTAATTATATACTTTTAAAATATGTTATTAACCATTACCTATATTATTATAAATAAAAATAATACATTTAACTAACAAACTATTTGTACTTATTGATATATTACGGGTTTGGACAATATTTTAGACTCTAACAGTTAGAGTTTCCAAGATTTGTATCTTTTTCTTTTTTTAGGTTCATAAAAAAATGGTAGGTTAATATTGATTTTATTAATTTTGCAATGATTTTTTTTATGTCGCCCAATGAAAATGCCTTAAAATATTCACTGGTCAGATAAAAAATGTTCTTGGCATAAATAGTTAGTGTACAGTTTTGATTTATCAAGAGATAATAATTTTAAATTTCCTAAAACAATAAATTAATCTGTCTATTACGTCGATTATAATAACTAAGTCTTATATAATTATATATGAAAATTCACGAAAATCCATGTCCTAATGCTATAATTATCATAAATGTCAACATAAAATTAAACTAATTTAGATACTTAATCATCTATACGACTATACCTAATATTAATAAATTAAAAATATTCTAACCTGCATTGATGGTCCATATGACTAATCTAGTTTCATATCTCGGAAATCGAAACATTTTCAATGTTGGAAAATTTTTTTTTGATTTGTTGCAATTCACATATTGACAGATATTACCAGACATAAGCTTAAAATTTTAAAATTGATTAAATATTTTAAGATAAATATACTGAAAATGTGTTTGTAAATGTGGAAACAGCTTTATAAGTAAAATAAAATGAATATTTTATATTATAAAATCAATGATATTTCCAAATTTGATACATTGTCATTCAACGTGAGTAGCCACTCAATAATCCGAAACGCTGTTTTTTTTTGTCGACAGAGTAAAATATATCAACAATTAAAATAAAACCAAAAAATAGAATATAATCAGCTATCGTAATGCGTATAGCAAAACAGCACCTATCCTATGTTTACCCCTCTTGAATGCAATCGAACACATCGACGTCTAACGGCTGAATGCAATTAGCCGCTGCCACTATTAACAATAGAATGGCTTATCTGTGTATTATAAAATCAATGCATTATACAATTGACCATTGATTTTATAATATTATAAAATCAATGAATTGGCGAAAACCATTTAAAAAACAGGGAAGGTATCTATTTTAAGAAAAAAGTTAGCAATTATTTGTTTTTTTTTTTTAAATTCTTAATGTTACGAGTATACTAATTATTAATAATAAATTAATTAAATGCATATTTTAGCGCTTATTGTTGTTATTTTAATTGCTATAAGTCCCGAACCCTGATTATTATCATATGATTTTTGAATTTCCTCATTTGAAATACTAAATACAATTATATTACCTAATAAATAGAAAATAAACATTAAATTTTCAAAAATTAATCAACAATTGTTGTAAGTTTGTTTCAAAAAATATATATTTCTATACTAAATCAATGTAAAATAGTCTAATTATAATTTTCATTAGGTATTTATGTTAAGTATAGGTATATAAAATGTATTAATTACGTTCAAGTACGTATATTACATTTTAATTGAATATAATTACTTTGTTTTATTTTTATACGAACACAAATACATATAAAGTTGATAATACAATACTAAACTACATATTGCACTTAATTTCGATATGGTATTATTTCACAACATAAACAATAATAATAAAAATGGCATATCATAATATGTTATTTTTGCTATCACAGTTTTAATTTATACTTCAAAATGGAAGGAAAATAACATTTTTAAAGTCAGATGATTACAACATTTGGTGGATTAAAGGTCTAATGAGACCTACGTGTTCGGCTCCTTTGGCTGGGAGCTTATTTAGTGTATAATGCCTAATGAGATCAGGTATGGTGCCGAAAGGTCTATCTGAATGGCCCAAATAATTTTGGTTTCCAGATTGAGTTATTCTCATGTGAATAAAACCTTTAGCGCTCCTAAAAAATAATAAAATTAAACACATTATTACTTATTTAAATTCATTATGTAGACAACTTAAAAGTACGTACAACAAAAATACACTTTTAAGATAATCGTATGAGTAAATCAGAACTTCGTGAAAAGTATAAATATAAGATAATTTTATAAATAACAATTATTAAAAATTGGAATTCATGTGCTTCGATGAAAAGGGAAAAAATATATAAGTAAGTAAATGCATTAGATATTATAGACATGTAACATCGAAATTATACACACAGATGAATGCACACATGATTATGCGTTAGATTACTACTTAATATGTGTCAAACGTTAAAAGATTATATTTTGATTTTTATAAAAAAAAATTCTGTTTCTGCGTAACATATTATGTAGAAATGTTGAAGTCTTTAAAACATATTAGTAAGTTAATTTTGACACACTTCATCACATTATACAGTGTCTTAGATAATAAAAAAATATAACATAATCTTAAAATTAGGTGTAGCAAATGTATAAGATCATGTTTTTTCAATTGTAACTTAAATAAATTAATGAAAAAGGTTAGATATTTTATTTAAATGTTGTTTATAGTTATTTTTATCTTACAAAGAAAAGAAATGTATTAGGCAACTAACTTAATTTGATCTGATTTGCATGTAAAGTAATGATTCACAAAGATTTTATATTTTATAATATGTATTCAGAAGCATTATACTCAAGTCTACATACTTTATTGATAAGGCATATGATCCCTTATTTCCTCTGACTAAATAACAACCTTCTTCTTGGCCATGCAAAGTTTTTTCTGCTTCAAGTCTATTCATAGGCCCGTGGTACCAGCTAAAAATTAATAAATAATGCTTTATTAATAATCATAACTTTAGGCAACACTTTTATTATTACAAAATAACTACAATTTAATATGAACTTATGTTATATATAATATACATACTAATGGATAATATCTTTATCATTTGTATAGTAAGTGATACTAATTTTAAATATATAATATTATACATGTGCTACAACAAAATTCATTATTTATAGAGATAAATGTAAAATGTTTCATTTAAGTTCTAGATATTATTTAATACGTAACCAATTTATTGAATTACATTTTAGTTATTATATTTAATTTTTGTACATTTTATAAATTAATAAAACATTTATTTTTCCTTTTTCTCCTAAGCTCGTTAATTAATACGCCATATATGTATATGCACAAATCATCTAATCATAATATTATATATTATAAGAACTTGGGGTTTAGGATCACGTACATAATTTGTATTGAATTCGCTAAACAATTAAAAGGTAGGTACAAGGTTAAGACACATATGGATTAATATTATTTTGCATTTTATGCAGTAACTTGTGCTGTGGGTTTGAAACTTTAAGGAATATTATTGGCGATTCGAAAAAATTATAGTGTATTTGATAAAAGACATAATCATTGTATATTAAAATATAATATAAATATACTGCAGAAGCTCTGTAAAGTACTGAAATATATTACACATAATTACGTGTACAGTTATACAAGACAATAAGGTTTCTTATTCTCGGGAGAAATTAAATATTCTTTAGTGTGATATTGACCATACAATGAAGCCGGACTATCTGTGTAATTCATCACTGGTGTATTTAGTGTAGAAATCATTAATATAAAAATATATAATAACCAGTAAGTAGGTATATCACAATAATAAATAATAGACAAAGATTATTAAATAATTGAAATATTTTCAGTTTTCAAACCCATGCGTGATGCGTTAACAATAATAAATAATGATAAACTAAGAAAAAACTATTTAAATTTCAAAAATGTATTAATGCAATACTTTGAAAATACAATTGTAATGTTTATTTTATGTAGCAAGCAAGTGGAAAAATTAAAATTAACACCAATGGCACGTAATATTTTCAATCAGCTATATTCGTTATTTAGCAAATACATAATATGAAATACAACTAACTGAAAGAATTTTTGACTTCGAGGTGAGACTATTAGGTTTACTCTAATGATTATTTTTCATTTTTTGAGCCTGTCTACATTCAACACGATTTCAACTAGATAGACATAAATAAAACTAGACTTTATCCTATCTTAATGATTGGCACCAATATGGCCCTGTATATAGAAGGAAACTCCAAATGATATTATGTATATTTAATATTACATTTAAATATAATATTTATATAATAATATAAACTGGCCGGATAATACCTGGAATGGGAATGAGTATTATATAAAATTAAATAATTATATGTTTTTATTAGGATTTTAATTTTGTATGTACACTCCATAAGTGAATTATATCTGCTTCGACGGAGTCTTGTTAAAATATATATGTTCGTTGTTTTAAATAACGATTAATAACTGTTATATTATTAATTTATTTTATTATAAAACGAAAGGAACCCTTGAGAAACAATTGCGTAGCGTTAAGGGCTCTCCGGAGCACAGTTTGGGAACCGATGTATTAGAGGTAGGTTTTAATGTTCTAGATAAAACATAAAACCCTTGTTTAAATTTTGAAATGGATGACCATTATTAATAGTGTTCCTTTGGGGATAAACAATGGTGTATTTATTTGTATTATAATTAATAATATTATGTATTCATAATTAAAACAATAGCTCCACTTTAATTGATTCCATTATAAATTATAATCAACAATAGATCTCTCATTTTTTAAAACATTCAGTGTTATTTTTTAAATTATAAAACAAAATGAATGATAGGTTACACTTGTTATACCATTGACGGATCTCAATCTTATTTAAGGAAGGAAGGAAGGGGTGAATAGAAATATTATTACTATTATTATCATTATATCTGTATGAATTAATACCTATTTCAAAAATATTAAATACATTTATGATATAAAAAGCCCAAGGATCAACATTCCTCCTCATAAATTCACCTCTGGGTTATAAATTGAAATTTTTTTTAAATTAATTAATTTTTAAAACATAATAATTTCATCATTTTTAGGGATTTAAATACTAATAACATTTTTAAGTCTTATATCAAGCGATTTTACAGAGCTTTTCATTAATTCACTAAGTATGTTTGATATTTTGCCACCACCAATAACTTTTTCTTACGTAATATTATTGGAATCATATTTATTTTGTCGATACTTTTATGTAGAGTTCATGTAAATTTTTCACAATTTTTCAAAACTTTTGAGTGCTTAAACTCGAAGTTTTTTATTGCACATATTACTCAAAAACCTGAAATAACCATCAAAAACTAAGTAGAGTTGATTTGTATAAAGTTAGCTATATATATTAAAGTAAAATGTTATCATTAAGTATTAAAATTTCAGTCGTAGATATAGTTAAAAATATAAACCGTACAATTTAAGCATATTTATTTTTAAAAATAATGTAGGTACCAAACATTCGTATTTATGTAGGTATTTTAAATTTTCTGGTTCAAAAATATTCAAAAATGAATTATGATGAAGAGGTTATAAATAATTTATCAATACAACTTTTGAGATTGTTAATTGTTATAACTACTAGTTTATTAGCAAATAATATCTGGCAAGTAATAACACGAAAATATCAAAGAAAAATTGATTAAACTGTGATATACATGTAATTTTTTTCCATAAATAATTCATAATTTTCATTGTATTTGATAGGTATAATATTATTTCTTTATTAAGTACGACGAAGACTTATATTATCATCTGAACATTTTGTAGATTCAATTTCAAACTTTTAGAAAAATTATGATTTTATTCACTAATTTTACGAAATTCTAGGAAAATATCAATGTTATGCAAGAAATCCATGAAATGGATGGTTTTTTTTTTTTTTAAAAAGCGATTTTCATAATTAGATACATAAGACATACAATTTTACTCAGAATCATTTTTCATATAGGATTGCTTAATATTGCCAAAACATTTACAAAATACACAGATGTAATTTTTTTAGTTATATATTTATTATTCAGCTGTGTAACTGAGATTTTATACTAAAAACATTTTACATATCTTATTCATAACTATTTTCAATATTTAAATTAATATCTTAAGTTTTTTTTGGAGCACTTAACAATTAAAAACCTAATAATCGTTTTTTTGAATGTGATGGCTTAGTTTATTGTAAACATTTAAAAACATTGATGCCAAATATCTAATGATGAACAATGAGAATACAGTAATCTCACATTAATTTTGTATTTCATCGTTATCTTATCGCTTTAACTTTAACGTAATGAAAATGCATTAACGAAATTAAATTATTTTTAAGTATACACTGATGTTATTATATTTTAGGTCACGGCAGCGCAAAAAATATACAATGGTTATTAAAAAAATATTCAATCAGTTATTACTTAAAACTTCAATACTTTTTTCAATTCAATTACATAACTAAAAATTATTTTTTAATATTAGAATTTCTTCAGCTGTAGTACTCAGTACTAAGTAAAGGGTAATGATAAAACGTATTAAAATGTTTAGGTTAATTACAATTTATTTCTAAAATAAGTAACTTAATTATTATGTTTGGGGACTTGATTTCACTTCAGCCGAGAACACTTTACACTGTATAATATTATTATGTTCGCTACTTATACAACCCAACAGTTATTAAATTCACCCTATCAATATTTTGTCAATTTATCTTAGTGATTGAATTATTTATATTCTTACTTAAAAGTTAGTATCATAAAATTAAATATATTATGTACACAAAGATTTCTTTTGATTTTTTATATTCGAATAAACTTAATTGACAGGGTATTTTCGTCATTTTTTAAATTAATTATGTAAATAATCCTTATACATTTGATGTGAACACTTACCATTGTTGATCTAAGGGTAAAGAAACGTCAACGTCTTCTACATAATGCAAAGGCTTTATGTTTGATAAACTTAATGTTGGACGGTTTGGCTGATCTAAACATAAAAATTAAAATTTAATATTAAATTAAAAGAAGTAAAAAACAGGATAATATGTTAACATGGTTGAGATTCTAAAATATTGCAGTAAAGCAATCGAATGTTAAAATTTAACAAAAATTATTTTAATTTAACAACAAAAAATATTACTGTATCAAATACTAAAAAGTTTTACGACTAAATTATAATTGATTCATTTTTTATGTATGAATTAAGGTTCTAAATAGATTTTTTTTCTAGGATTTACCTTTAAACCGACAAATGGGGTCAATTAATCCGAATAAATTGTATTGCAACAATAATGTTAAAATTCATATAAATGATTACATAAAACATTAAAATTAGTTAAGTTAAAAATTGTAGTACATGAATTCTAATTTAGATAGATTAAATTTTACATTATATTTTATAGCATACCAAAGTATTATTATTTGAACATACTACTTAGAAGAGGATTACACTCGTTATCTTTAAACTTTAAGTACCAACTATATAAATTATATGGTAGGTAGTATTAAGATTTAAAACTATTTAATATTATAAGAACGAGGGTAGTTTTCAATAAAAATGTTTATTAAAGTACTTTACTATAAAAAATATTTACATAAATGATTATGTACATTAATATAAGATTCTACCCCATATAAAAAATTTATGTTGACTAAGTATATTGATTGAACATAACATGTTTAACATGGTAATTTATGAATAATTTCGACCTATTTATCAATTTGCATAATTAACTATTTGTGCATAGGATATAAAATGTTGAATATCAATTATTATTATTTTTATTAACTGCATATAGTTTTATATTGCAATCAAATAATAATTTTATTTTAATGATATTATTTATTAGATAAGCGTTATTTTTAAAATTATAATTTTATTATTTTACTTATAAATGTAATAATATTGATAATATGCGAACAATGTACACGTATATAGTATTAGTCTGTATTACATAGCTATAACTTTTTTGGTATTACATTTGGAACCATTCGGTAAATATTTGAAATAATGGCCGAGGTCATAAAAACATTCCCCTCACATATCTATGAACATTTGGATCCCTACTTTTTGAGAGAGGGATTATATAGCACAAGGGTGAAAACTGACAACGAAACGATAGTATGGGTGTCCAATTCATAAAAAGTTTGGTTTTTGACATTATATTTTTTAAATGGCATATACTTGAGTATATTTATGCGTGTTACATGCTTTATTAAACAAACAATAAATCATAAAAATTCTTAATTGATTCAGATGTCAATAGTGTAAAATTATATGGCATAAATGTGTTGTTAAAAAAAAAATTTAAAAAAATAAATTATAAATAAAAAAAAAGTAATTAAAACATTAGTGGATAGTTATAGTTAGTAAAACTAAGCTATTAAGATATGTTCACTATTAAGAAGATAAAATTATAAAAATAGTAATTATGCATATAAAAACGAAAAGTAGCTAATAAATTAACTATTTAAACTATCGTTTAACCTTTATTATATACTTTTTCTTGTTTATTCAAAATTTTTCTTCTTTTGTTGTTTATTTTACATTTATCTTATGTGTATTACCGTATTGTTGTGTGTCAATGGTTCTATACATAACTAGGTAATGTTTTCAATTATTTTATTTTTTTTTAATAAAAATCATTATGATACTATCCATCGTACGAAAACGTGAAATATTAATGCAATTTTACAGACCGTATTCCTTGGTAATTAGTTAATTAGTAAGTCCATTAATAAGAGGTATTACAAAGTTGAGAATAGTTAGTACTTTAGTAATATGTTCAGATATTTTTAAGATGTAATTATATGTTATGTATATTAATAGGCAATAATTACAGTTCATAATATTTCAGATATATCTATTTACATAAAAATTTGTTCTCTTCTTAGAGGAGTCAAGTAATAAACATTTTAAATAGTATATATTAAAAGTTATCCCCTACAATCGTTGTTTTATATAGAAATAATATCAAAGAAATTTATTTATTATTCTAATAATAGAAAATTTCGATTTATTGAATTACTATTCTCTACATGTTTACATACTGTAATGAAAAATAATAAAAAATTTGGAATTGAAAATGCTTAAAAAAAAAAAACAACCGTTTTAAGTATTTTGTATTATAATTAATATTCATATTATAATTACGAGTATAACGAATTTTTTCGAAAATATTTGATTTCATGACTAATCAAGTAATCAACCCAAGTAAATAAAACGTTATTTTTTATTAAAACAATATTATTTCGTTGGATATATATAAATAAAACTTACTTTTATTTTGGAACGTTTTCGATAATGCTCTATTGTTTGGGCTGATTGTAGCACTACAATTGTCGGGTAATACATTGAGAAACAAACTACTCCTATCCGGTTTTTTGTCGTCCTTATCTTGTAAATTGGTCTTTCTTAATTTAGGAAAGTCAAATGGAAGCTCTTCGAGTTGTTCGCATTCAGACCTGTCGGTAACATTGTCGTGGTCTTGGCAATCGTTTATACGGGAAGCATTGTATGCGCTTAAGTCACTGCCTATCTCAAAATCTAACGAAATCACTCGAGCGCAACTTTCCATTTGCCTTTTTCGAAGCTTCGGCATGTCGAACGGCAGTGCAGCGTCGTTAGAGTTGGTGGTGTTGCAGTTCTGTCTTCTTCTCAACTTCGGCATGTCGAAAGGGAGTTCAGATGGGCCGTCGGAGGGGCACTGCAACGTGGTGGTGGTTTTAGTGGTGATGGTGGTGTTGGTGGTGGTGGTGGTAATGGTCGATTTCTCCGCGTGATGGAAGACTTGTGATTTTTGCTTGCGCCTCAATTTCGGCATGTCAAACGGCACGTCCAACAGCTCCTGATAGCTGTCACCGGGCTTCGAGCCCACGGATATACCACTGTCGGACCCGTGATGCTGATGATGGTCCTTGTTCAACTTGATCAGGCCCAGCGATTGCGGTGGTTTGGCCTTGACCACGGAGGACGCGGTGGGGGCGGTGGCAACGGCGACGGTGGCAGTTGCGGATGACCTCCGGCGATCGAAATCCTGCAGAATCTCGGCACCGGCGTCCTGCGACGACTTGTCCGAGATTGGGGACAGCACGTGCGGCTCCGGGAACCGCAGCTTATAGCACGGCGACTCGGAACTGTGCGAGCTCAACGAATCGCTAGTGATGGACTCCAGGCTCAAACTGCTGCTGGTCACCATGCTGTCTGAACTGCGATACTTGCTGTTGAACCGTTGGCCGCCGCCACCGCCGCTGTTGCGTCTCTTTTGCGACAACAAGAAGCCAAGAAACCGGTTTTTAGGCGGCTGCCTGGTGGCTGGGGCGCGTATCGCGCCGTGGTCCGCGTCGCATTGCAACAGCTGGACGGAACTGGCGCTGGCCGACAGTTGCAGCTGATTGGACAGCCTGTGAGCGATGGCCGCGTCCTGTTTGTCGGCCGACAACAGGTCCTCGTCCGACTTACTGATTTTCGAATCAAAGGCAGTCTCATAGAACCGACGGAACTTCTTAGACATGTTTGGCGGTGGCGGTGGCGGCGGCTGCTGCGGCAGGGATGGACGGCATCGTTTTCTGCGGTGGTGTACAGACCTCGTGCTGCCAGGGATCTCGTGAGAAACGTGACCGTATAACGGCCACGGCGCACAGTCGATCGCGATCCTCGTCGTTATCGTGGTAAGTTTTTGTTGTTGTTGTTGTTGTTATTTTTACGAGCCCATCGCTGTCCGAAGCCAACAGCGTTCGCGGTCCGTGCGAACCGCAACGGCAATGATAATGAAAAAAATTATTTCGCGATAAAAACAATAGTAATAGCAGTAACGATTCCGCGGGACGCGTTGTCGGGCACGACCGCACGGGACGCGATGTGTCGCGGTATGTGTTCACCTGGCGCGGCCGGGCGATGACGACGGGGTTATTACTGGTCGGTCGCACCGACGCGCGCGCGCGGGCGCCTGCTCGTTTTCCTACGTGGGAAGAAGCTCCAGCGGCGGGCAGGCAAGAGCGTGCGCACGTCTCGCCAATCGATGCGCCGCTGCCGTCACTGCAACGCGCGCCGCGATGACTCATGCTCGGGGAATTCGCGGTGCATTGATCCTCGCACCGGCGTCGCCGGGGAGGTACCGCGCGCGTCTTGAGCTTTTCCGCTGCGAGACTAAGTCGCAATTTCTCTCCCCCGCTGCCATACACCCCGGCGCCCAACAATGTCTAGGTACAACGCCTGCACAATCGGAGATATCGCATTTGTACATCGTCGTTGTTGGCGGAACCCCCCCTGCCGTGTGCGAAAAGTCAGTTTTTCGATAGACAACAATTTGTATCGCAACCGTTGTTGCATCTGTATTATATTTAAAAAATACTCATTGAATTTTCGTGAAATTGAAATCATTATAAAAAAAAAATTGCTATCGTTATGAATATTTGTTAAGAAATATATTTAAAGTCCTCTAAAAATATGTTCCATAAAAGATAATTATTTATTCATATTTTTATCACATGTTACTAAGGATATTTTAAAAAATCAAAATGTCTTTTCTACGCATAAATCAATTCATTCAAAGTAGTAACTAATCATATATAATATATATAATAACCACGGTTTATTGTAATCTATAAAATAATAATATTACAATTGTTGTCTTTTATGCGACACTACATTATTATCTACACATACGGCAACACCTCTAATGTGAATTCCGATTAGATTTAAATAGACATTTAGAAACATTTAAAAGCAGTTTGATGCATAAGCGATTTTGTATGTTTATTTCGTATTTTATTATAATCATAAAAGAAATGGAATCGTACTTCCTAGATACTTAAATTGTTGGATTTGCACTATTAAGTTATTATACCTTCAATTTTACTACGGGAATTTCTTTTGCTTTAGTCACTAATCCGCCGGCGGTCATACGTCGGTCATTTATTGATACGCCAAATGTGTTTTCACAAGTTATTATTAATTTGTATGTATTTATATCTTTAGTTCTACTGTAGCTATTAAATTGATTCCAAGAATAAAATTATCAGCAATACGTTCTAATTTTAAATATTGTTATAACTTTGTATGGTCGCCGGCGACCATTTGGTGTGGTGATAATATGATTATACTTTTGACGCCATATGCCTGCTGGCGACCAAATGACAAACATACTTCAATCATATACAGACATGCGAAATGGCACGACAAACGAGATGTTGCGATGTTGTCTACCAAACATGGTATTGAAATTATCGATACAGGTAGTGGCGTACATTTAATCTTGCTCTGGGGTGGTTTAACAAAAATAATCGTTGTCTTTTTTTTTCGTTGCACAGATAAATAAGATAAATAACTGCTATAAATAGATATTATTTTACATCTTTTTTACCAATTTAAGGTCGATTCACACTATACGGAACGTCAACGTCACGTCACAGACCGGCAACGGCACGTCAAAATATGTTACTATGTATTTATATCGCAATGTTCACATACACCGTCATCAATACGTAACGTCACCGTCACGAAGCGGCAACGTTTATCGAAAACTATATTTTGACGTTACGCAACCAGTCCGTTCTTGTCCGTTCGTATAGTATGAATGTGACAACTGAACGTTTCCGTCAAATTTAAATAATTATATTTTAGTTATTTTTTCATTATTTTATCATGGATGATGAAAATGTAATAGAAAAAATTCGTTTATATGATTAACTTTACAATATGGCACATAAAAAGTACAGTGATAATCATCATAAATATGTAATATGGACGAAAATAGGAAAAGAATTGAATCTCAGGGGATAAATTTATGCTTCTAAAATAAGTTCCAAATTTTTGTACCAAATTTCCAAAAGCATTTTCCGATACACGACGAGCTCGAGACAATCTATAATTGAATACTTGTTTTTCGATGTCCCCGTTTATCGTTGAGCCTGGATATGGTCTAAGCAACCTCAGTAAACTGCATTGATTCCTACAATTTGACGCTTCGTTTGACGTTTTGACGTTTTGATGTGAATGTATAACACATTTAACGTGACGTTGCCGGTCTGTGACGTGACGTTGACGTTCCGTATAGTGTGAATCGACCTTAATAATGAAACTATGAATATATTACACGTCATCAATAATAAAACAATTTTCTTTTTTTTTTTTTTTTTTGGCACTGGAGGGGGTTTGAATCTGGACCTCCCCAATAAGCATTTGTTCAAATATGAATTTATGGTCGTCGGCGGGTCATGTGGCGTAGTAGTAATGATCAACTATGATCGCCGGCGGGCATATGGTGATTAACGTGCTAGATACGCCTATGGATGTGTGATAAAATGTAAAGAATCCAAATATTTCTGTGCGATCAGAAATATTGTTGGATATTATAAGCAATCTAGAAATTTTTTTCGGGAGGGTTCCAAAATGTGTATATTGTAATTTTATTGAAGTAAGATTTTAACTTTTGATATTTTGTTAAAAAAAAGACAGAAAAAGATTCAATCATCTTTTATTAAAATTAATATCATATTTTCATTTGATATGATATAAAATTAAAAGCAGTCAATGATTAATTGGAACTTAAATCATTTTTGACTGAAAATATTTATGTTGGTATTAAAAATAAATAAGTATTTTAAACATTCATAAAATATTGAAGACATTTCGGGGGGGGTCAAGGCACCCTAGACCCCCCCAGATACAGCCTTGATTATAAGTATTAAGTATCGAATATGGTTTAATGAGATAATCTTATCCAGATCCCTCACAATCAAATTTAACCGATTACGCACTGACCATCATCTATTACTTTCTTATACTTAACAACTAAATTCTAATAACTAGATTCTGTTCTCTGTATACTCAATTTAGAAGAAAGCATCTGTAATCTACTATCTATCTCATATTTCATACTATCTTTGATTGTACCTCCTTTCACTGCCGTATCCAGGGGGGGGACTTTTGGGTCCCCCCCCCCCCCCCCGAAATCTTTGGAAAGATATTTTTTTAGTAATGCGTAATGGGTTCATATCATATTGATAATGTAGACGGGTGCAGTGGCGGTTTTGATAAAATATCAAGGAGGGGGCTATTTTAAATTCATTTGGTTTTTTTTGGCACTCAACATAATTCCATATATCAAATTTAGAATACAATTGGTTTATGGTCCTATAATAATTAATTGACATATAACTTTCATTTTTTATTTCATAATTTAAATATTTAGTTTTATTGGAATCTTTATAAAATAACAGCCTCTGAATCATATTTACCTCTAACCATGTACATAATGTTATATAAAAATATAGTAAAAAGTTCATTGACTTGGCTACAATCTAAAAAAAAACATGAATAATAAATGCAAAACTAAAGTAATAAATTCAAAGCAATTTAAGCATATTTTAGTGAAATTTTAATTAAAAATAACGCATATTGTTCCATTGTTATCCATTCAAATTTCATATTGATATAAAAAAAAAAAAAAATTAATAAATAATTACAAAAAAATTTTGAACATATTATATTGTGAAAACAATATGACATACATAACATAATCGTTGGCACAAAAAAAATCCAAGGGGGGTGAGCGCCCCCTTCGCCCTCCCTAAAAACTACCACTGGAGGGTGACCTATGGCCTAGCAACGGTTATGAGGCTACGAGGTATTAATGACGATTGACGACGGTAATGATTCATTGATATACCTACTAAAAAAAAAGTATGTAGCTTATTTAAACTAATGCCTTAACGATGCATCAAAAGTGCAACAAGTAAGAAATGCTCTAGAAGTTGTACAGGAAGTAAGTGCATGTTTTCGTGCATCAGCTAAACGGTCAACTATATTACGGAAAAAATTAAAATCTAAATCCTTTTCTGGGTTAAACAAATTTTGCGAGACTAGATGGGTGGAACGACATGAGTCAATTTTAATTTTGGTTGAAGGTTTTATTGAAATAATAAGTGCATTGAAAGAACTTATGTAAATAGAACATGACAAAGCAGCTTTTCCATTACATAAATCTACGAGTATGTGTAATTTTAATTTTCTTATAACTATCTGTATTTTGGAAAAGATTTTTGGAATAACTTATTTTATTTCCAAATATCTTTAAATAGAAAATAGAGATTTGCAATAGATTGCATATAATTGCAATTGCAATATAATCTGTAGAATAGACAATTCAAAAAATACAGGATTTTCGGACTGAAGAAACTTTTGTTGCTATGTTTCATTGTACTTGTAAAATTACAAAAGAAGTTGGTATATCACCAATCATACCAAGAGTAGTTGGGACTCAAAAACACCGAGATAATTATGCAATACTCAATAATGATCATGTTTCTTACTACAGACAATAATTATATTATCCATTTTAGATGATATTCTAGAATCATTTAATGAACGTTTTAAAATGAACTCTAATATTTTTGTTTCTTTATTTTCTTGAATACCAAATAAAATTGGTAATCTATCATTCAGTAATATAAAGCCAGCTATTGAATTTTATGAAGAATATTTAAGATCTAATAATCACAACATTCACATGGACTTATTAAAAAATGAATTTGAATTTTGGAAACAAAAATAGTCTAATGAAGAAAATGACTTACCAAAAAATACATTGGACACATTATCAAAATGTCCCGAAGATTTATTATTATTATATTTTACTAAAACTTCTTGCTATTTTGCCTGTATCAACGGCATTGGTCGAAAGAAGTTTTTCTTCTTTAAAAAGAATCAAGACCTATTTAAGAAACTCTACAGGCGAGGCAAGATTAAATGGGTTAGCCCTTCTAAATATACATAGAGACAAACAAATCGATAAAGATATTATTATAAATATGTTTGCATCAATAAAAAGAAAGGCGTTTAGATTTAAAATTGTGACAATTTACAAAACAAATAATAATAATAATAATAATAAAAATAAATAAATAGTAAATAGTATGTGTATATACCTACCTATATGTTTTA